AATACGCGGCTGGGCTTATAAGCCGTGGGCTTAATAGCCGGTGACTACTGTAATAGAAATAATAGTAGTAGCAGCAGTCTCGGTCTCCATGTGTCGGTCTTGACAGCGGCCGAAGTTGAGTTAAGGTAGGCAGTGCGGTAGGCCTAGCGCAAAAGTCTACTGTCCCTCTAGAATAAGTCACGCGGCGTTCTGGTCTGCATCGGAGAAAGAGGCTAAAGCTGGATCCCATTTCGGTCTTTCTGAATCTGGGTGAAGGTGGAGAGCGCGGTAGACGCTTGCAACATCTACAGTCACTTAAATCTAAGCCGTCTACAGTCCCCCTCCCTGCACCAACCTGTTTGGAGCACACAGTGGACTTCATCGAAATCGATGGTCGAACTATTATGTGGCGGACAGTCAACAATGGTGTCCCGCTTCCTTGTTCAATCCCCACTGACTCGAGATCAGGCATCTTCCCAGGCAGCCTGTTTCGACTCGCTGACTTGAGGAACCTTGACCGCGTTCCCCGAGCGCACACGTGAGTGAGTATTTGAAACATTTGGCGGATAAACGTGTAGCCAATAAAAATGCAGGAGGACCGACCAACAGACTAGCAGGCGTTGCCAAAGATTTTACGTATTGTATTCATTATTATATTATTTTAGATTGTTTTTTAAATTATTTAAAAAAAGGAAATGGTGGTTAGGTCGTCTACTTCAAATGACCTGTGTTCCAACTTACCGTTCTAGAGTTAGTTTAGTATAGCCCGCGGCGCGAAGAGCCGCGCACACCTTCAATTTACATGCGCAATAACTATCATGAAGCCTTGGATGTGTTTTCCTCCATTTTTTGGCACTTCTTCACGACAAATAAAAACATTAAAACGGCCGCCAATATATTGGACGGTCATGCCGCACGTTCATTGGTTAAAATTATCCGCCTCTCAGTAGAAACATTGTTTGGAACCCTACCTCTGAAGATATTTCTATTAATGGAAGATTTTTTTGCGAGGCAGTCCTAGCAGAAAAACGAAAAGTAGGTCCAAATGCAAAAATAACTGTACTTTTGCTTTGGTCGTATGACTGATGATGTCAAAAGATCGGCCACAGAGCGGAGAGAAATGGACACCTCTGTAACCCAACCCAAGGAAGCTCTTGCCTCAAACTTTTCGAGAGCTGGTGCAGATTTCCCTCAGAAGAGCTAACTTTTTGAGTGGAAAAACCACAAACCAAAGACTGGGGTAGACCATTGAATACCTTTGAGGGAAATCCACGTACATTGCACGGGTATGTAAAAGTGAAAGAGCATAAAGATGCCGCACCTATAATCATTTACAAAATCGATTTAAGAAAAAATAGAGACGCCAGGTCTCTAGAGCACAAAGTATCATCATGAAGGAAAGAAGACATTTAGGGAAAAAGAAGCCTCAGGCGGTTTTGCGCGCCCGCGCGGAGAGCAAGTCCTTGCAGACAGGCAGGACGATTCTGCGCCACTGGGCATGCCAGTCCTGAAGGTCCGACTGCCTGCGCTGATGCAGATTGCTACGATAACGGGCGAGTTCCCGGGACTCCGCAGGACCCTCAAAGTCCTCCTTGGGCATTAGCAGGGAGGTGAGCTGAGAGGCCAACTCGTCCACGGTGGAGAAATGACGGCCCACAACCTTGTCCGACAGGAGTTCAGGCAGGGTGGGGTAGGCGAGAGCCAATACGGGAACTTCGGCGCCGAAGCAGTCGACAACCTGATTGCAGCGGAAGAAACAGTGAGGGTGTTAGGTGTAGGCATAGTCCTGGCAGCTGGACACTTATGACAGACGTTCTGTCTGGTGAATGACTAAATAAGGCTCACTTCGGCAGACTAATGGGTAGGGCTTACCAGTGAGAAAACGCAAAAAAGGGAGTTTAGATGAATGATTTTGAGCGACAAATTCTGAAAAAGCCACTTGTTATGCAATAATAGTGGCAGCCGCTATGAAAACACAATCATGTTTAGCAGATGAGTAGGGGTATACAAATCAACAGACGTCCGACTGCTTCCTTCTGGCTTTGTGTGCATCAGTATGTATGTAAACTATCAGCAAGGTGGCTCTTAAGACAAAAAGGTTAAATTGGAACCTTTATAGAACAGCTCTATAATAAGGGGCACTGATATTACTGATATGGCTTTAGTTTTTGTTCACAATATCCTCTTCTAGAACATGAAATTAAAAACTATGAAATACGACTTCAAACACAAAATTTAATAATTTTATAGGGTTGTTCGCAAATAGCCAGTCGCGAAGACTCTGGTTCAATGAATGCGTTGTGGTAAATAACGACATTTACGTTAAAAAGAAGGTACTAGCGATAATCTTCACAAACGTTTATGGAATGCACACATCTAGGGAGAAAAATAATTTACCCATCCGATTGTTTTTCGCGTTTAATACAGAAATGCACGTATTTTTTTCTCCAAAATCATTTACAAATTTCGTTTTTACGGTACATTTTCTTTAAAAATCTTGTATAAGCTAAACATTATATCAAATAATTTGATCCTGAGAACGGTAGGAAGATGCCTTATGAAACGGGCATTGCGTTCCTCAATCCGCATGACAGTTCGGCTATCGATTCTGACTATGTCCACCGTGTGCTTCACCAAACTGAAGGCAAACGTGGTGACTTGCGCGTGGATTAGTTTTAAGTAACAGCAGACTTGCGAGGCATCTACCGCACTCGCTCCTCCGTCATCCACGTGTGCCCGATGTCAAGACAGAGTCAAGAAGACCGGATGCAATATCGGGTGCAGGTGGCTGACGCAGTCGAAGACACTCCTATGTTCGTCTAATCACCTCGAATGTATATCCACCCTCTTTTTGATTTTCACCCGCCCTTTTAAACTATCTTAATCTTACTGTTTATTTTTTACAGAACCAAAAAGAATATCCGAGTTGTCCCGATTGTCTTATGACATAGCTTTTCATCTCGGATGCGTCTATTCTAGGAAATAAACTAGAACGGAATTACGAAAGTCTAAACAATATTAACAACTAGCGCGGAAGCCCGGCTTCGCCTTGGGCTTCCTTACATTTTGTTGTCC